GTGAGAGACGATTGGGAAACATGAGGGTATCAGAGATGTCAATTTCGACTCATTTCTCATCTCTCACAGAGCATGAGAAAGGTCTTTCATCTGCCTTTTTGTTATGGTGTTTAGGGCCCAACATGTTTAGACAGCTGGGTATTGACATGATTAAAACACACGTTATTAGGATTCGATTCATACATCATTACAATTTAGATTACCAATAAAACACGATTTAAACATGACTGCTAGTTATATTAAGACTTAAAACCTGAGTTAAACGATTCAAACATAATTACTATTTATGTTAACACTAAACACACGACTTAAACACGACTATTAATTTTAATAACAAAAACACGAATCAAACATGACAATACTCATTAATACACGATTCAAACATGGCAAGTAATTGTATTAATACAAACCCACATTCAGCAATTATGAAACAACGATAAGTGTCCTGTCTTTTAATCCTAAATGTATTTCTTCCCACTGTTAAAATACAACAGAAATAAACAACACATTCTCATCTAAGATACAGGAAGGTGATGGTAAATGAGTTTCAGTTACAGGTCATGCAGGTATTCCAGTTTAATTGTCTGTGTGTATCAGATTAATCGACCATGTAGAGAGTATTCACACACACACAATAATTGATGTGGTCTAACCATTGTTCCCTGTGTATATTGGTGTGTGGTTTGATGTAATCCGTCACAAGCGAAAGGCAATTTTGAAAAGATTATTCCGCAACAAGGCTCTGTAATTTAGAAGAGTGTGTGTGTGTGTGTGTGTGTGTGTGTGTGTGTGTGTGTGTGCGTGTACTCACCTAATTGTGCTTGCGGGGGATGAGCTCGGGCTCTTTGGTCCCCAAAGGAGACCAAAGGAGTGTGTGTGTGTGTGTGTGTGTGTGTGTGTGTGTGTGTGTGTGTGTGTGTGTGTGTGTGTGTGTGTGTGTGTGTGTATTCACCTAGTTGTACTTGCTGGGGGTTGAGGTCTGCTCTTTCGGCCCGCCTCTCAACTGTCAATCAATCAACTGTTACTAACTACTAACAAATTTTTTGTGCATGTTTTGTGTGTGTGTGTGTGTGTGTGTGTGTGTGTGTGTGTGTGTGTGTGTGTGTGTGTGTATGTGTGTCATCATTACCAACTACATATCCAGTTACATATTATCCCAAGAAACCCAACGCTAATAAGTAATAATACGAATAAGATTAAGAATAAAATCAAATCAATACCAAATAAAATCCAAACACAATTCCTATAACTAAAACATAAAAAAAACAGATAAAAACACTGCGAGTCTGCCATTACACAGTTACCAAAAGCGACGATAAAGGAAAAAACACCAACCTGGCAACACTGCTCTTGAACTACCCGCATTTGTTTTCCAAAGTTTGTTTTTGAATTTTTTTTTTAATTTTTTATTTAGATTTTTTCTGTAGTATTTCAGGTGAGCCGGATGCCGCGATCACATCTGGTCAGTCATGCGGTTTTTGCATGCTGGGATGGGAGAGAGAAAGGGGGGAAGGGTAGAGGGGGGTGTGGAAGAGGAGGCTGGGAAAAGGTGGAAACGTGAAGATAGGAGGAGGAGAAAGATGGAAAAGGGTAGGCTCAATTTAGGTGATAGGGTGCAGAGACGGAGGAGATGAGACGGGAGAAGAAGATATCATATGGAAAGGGGAGGAAGACATGGAAAGGGAGGGAAGCCATCATATGGAAAGGGAGAAAAAAACATCATATTAAAAGAGAAGAACAAGTATGGGGTGTTCCGACGATTTTGTTCTCGATTCACGATTGTGGGATCTTGAGGATTCGATTCCCACGCGGGACGGGAACGCTTGGGGACGTTTCCTTTCACCTAATGTCTCTGTTCACCTAACAGTCTCAATAGGCACTCGGGAGTTAGGCAACTGTTGTGGGGTTTGCATGCTGGGGACGGCAATGTAGGCCTAAATTATAGGCTGTGTTCACGAAAATAAGAAAATGGTTGTCAGGAATTTATATATATATATATATATATATATATATATATATATATATATATTAGTATATTTTGGTAGCAGTCTTTCTTGTAAACATATATTATTAAATATGACCGAAAAAGTAACATTAATAATTCTAACACGAATTTTCTCAATATTTTTTATGTTTCTTTTCACTGTCGATGGTAATTGAAAAATCAATTCTGTCGATGGTAATTGAAAAATCAAGAAAGATTTTTCAATTACCATCGACAGTGAAAAGAAACATAAGAAATATTGAGAAAATTCGTGTTAGAATTATTAATCTTACTTTTTCGGTCATATTTAATAATATATATATATATATATATATATATATATATATATATATATATATATATATATATATATATATATATATATATATATATATATCTCCCTGTAGCGTGGGAATATCCAAAGGGTCCAGCTGGGCCTGTTAGAGTAGTTTACACTGCTAACGAGGCTGAATTGTGGGGCGGGGGGAGCCGAATCAAGGAATTTCTTTCTATTACTTTCCTGTAAGTTATTAGGAAATGTTTCTTGTCCCATTAAAGCCTCGAACCCTTAAACCTCGAACCTATTAAAGCCCCATAGACACCCCTCTCCCATGAATGCCTTCCTGCCCCCACAAAGGCCTTCTTAGCCCCCATAAATTCCTCCTCATTCCATAAAAGCGGAAAACAGTGAATATGGCGAAAAATAAAATGCCAAACGAAGTAATAAGTGGAGAGAATGATGTAAGTAATAAGGAAAAGAGGAAAGGGGTGAGAAGAGAAGGAAGAGAAGGAGAAAAATGGGAGGGAGAAGGAAAGAACAACGTATTTCGGTACTGTCCCACACAGGTGTTCAATAATTGCTCTCAAATATCACGTGGAGATGCGCTTTTCACCCCCCCTGCGTCTCTTAATTATTCCTCCAGACACCTGTTAATAACCACAGGTGTCCATTGTTGGCACAGGTGTGTCTTAATTACCTCCCCGCTGAGGACCGCACTACCTGTCAGCGACATAAAAGACCCAATTATCTCCTGATTAACTGCACCGTGAATGTAGCTTAATCATGGCTTCAGACTTTCCCTAAGAAGTGAGAGAGAGAAAGAAATATATATATATATATATATATATATATATATATATATATATATATATATATATATATATATATATATATATATATATATATATATATATATTATTATTAAATATGACCGAAAAAGTAAGATTAATAATTCTAATACGAATTTTCTCAATTGAAAAATCATTGATTTTTCAATTACCATCGACAGTGAAAAGAAACATAAGAAATATTGAGAAAATTCGTGTTAGAATTAATCTTACTTTTTCGGTCATATTTAATAATATATGTTTACAAGAAAGACTGCTACCAATATATATATATATATATATATATATATATATATATATATATATATATATATATATATATATATATATATATATATATATATATATGTCGTACCTAATAGCCAGAACGCACTTCTCTGCCTACTAGGCAAGGCCCGATTTGCCTAATAAGCCAAGTTTTCATGAATTAATTGTTTTACGAGAACCTAACCTACCTAACCTAACCTAACCTAACTTTTTCGGCTACCTAACCTAACCTAACCTATAAAGATAGGTTAGGTTAGGTTAGGTAGGGTTGGTTAGGTTCGGTCAAATATCTACGTTAATTGTAACTCCAATAAAGAAAAATTGACCTCATACATAATGAAAAGGGTAGATTTATCATTTCATATGAAAAAATTAGAGAATATATATTAATTCAGGAAAACTTGGCTTATTAGGCAAATCGGGCCTTGAATAGTAGGCCAAAAAGTGCGTTCTGGCTACTAGGTACGACATATATATATATATATATATATAATAATAATAATATGAAACAAAGCTTGAATGGGCCCCAAGTCATAAATCCCTTAAAAACTCTATGACCCGATTAGGGTTCGAATCCCCGTCGACCGGGATAGCCCCCTGGTGTTCAAAGTACCGTAACCACTTCACCAGCCATCGACTAAAAGGGTTGGTTAGTCATGGAGCCTATTAGCCAAGTTCCATGAGCTAACCAGCCCCCGGCGACACTCGTGGTGCAGTTTTGGCACAGTTTTTAAGGTTTTCAGCGTTTTTTCTTTCCTTGATTGTGGTGAGGCTCAGTTCCCTTAGCACTTTAGTGTTCACATTCCAGAAAATGAGTCTTGTATATGTGTATTTTCAAACTTAGCTTTGTGCGGTTCTCACGCCTGAGATGCATACATATGTTTGCGTCTCACGTACGTTATTTGCAACGTTGTTGCAAATCCTGTGTGCAAGAAAATATATTTTAGCACTTCATTGGCATTTGTTTTTCCAGGCAGATTATTTACACGTATTTACATATATTACATATGTATTTACACGTATTTTACATGTATTACACATGTATTTACACGCATTTACATGTATTACACATGTATTTACACGCATTTACATGTATTACACATGTATTTACACGCATTTACATGTATTACACATGTATTTACACGCATTTACATGTATTTACACGTATTTACATGTATTACACATGTATTTACATGTATTACACATGTATTTACCCGTATTTACATATATTACACATGTATTTACACGTATTTTCTTTGATAATTTACTTGTGTTAGGAATACAGGCTACAGGTCCCACTACTGTCGTCCGCCCTCTTGATCTGTCACTCCGTAAAAAATCCGTCCTACTAAACAAACCAGGAATGTACGAACCTAACCTAACATGCCGAGTCCAATGTATAGAAAACGTAGATATCTGTGAGCCGCAACTTCTCATATTTACATTCGTAACTTTTTCTTATTATAACGTGCAAAAAGCGACCTATTAATTGAGAGGACGGGATGATTCTTGACCCCTTGTTTCACCCGTGTGGTACCTGTACCTCGCTTCCTCCTCTCAAGAGTCTTCTTCCAACGTCATGGTTGTACTTACTACTATTGTGGTAGTAGTCCGAATCTTCCTATGCTGTTGCTACTGCTACTGCAGCTTCTACATCTACTGGTGCATCTACTGGTGCATCTACTGGTGCATCTACTGGTGCATCTACTGGTGTATCTACTGGTGCATCTACTGGTGCAACTACTGCTGCATCTACTGGTGCATCTACTGGTGCATCTACTGGTGCATCTACTGGTGCATCTACTGCTGCATCTATTGGTGCATCTACTCCTGCATCTACTCCTGCATCTATTGGTGCATCTACTGCTGCATCTACTGCTGCATCTACTGGTGCATCTACTGCTGCATCTATTGGTGCATCTACTGGTGCATCTACTGGTGCATCTACTGGTGCATCTACTGGAGCATCTATTGCTGCATCTACTGGTGCCTCTACTAGTGCTTCTACTGCTGCATCTACTGGTGCATCTACTGGTGCATCTACTGCAGCTGCTATGAGGACCAGGAGCTGGGATACAAGGAAGATGGGAAGGACCATATATGCCATCGAACTGCGACCATGTAAGAAGCGAAGTAGTCACTCTACCGACCAGTCGACCTGTGGGTTAAAACAATTTTCGCTGCGCCTTTGCCTCGGATATTACACCAAATTATTTACTTTGCTTCTCATGCTTTTATCCTAAACATTAATTCCTTTTGGGTTCGTGGGAGTTTTGCTGTTATCTGTAATTCTTGCATTTCTTCCATTTTCCCTTTGCTTCCTCTTTTCTCCCTAGAGCATAGCCCGTCTAAGATCTAAGATCTAAGATTCTCCCTAGAGCATAGCCCGTCTAAGATCTAAGATTCTCCCTAGAGCATAGCCCGTCTAACCTCTAAGATCTAATGCTGTGTCTGAGGTCTTTATCTCAGCCGGCCGACATGAATCAGCCGTAAGCCTCATGGGGCCGTCTCTGAGGTCAGGTCTATCAACGTTTATCGCTCAATAGATGTCAAGACTAACACAGTTCGCCCTGGCTTATAGCGCGGTTTTCTGATCTGCGTTTTGGGTGTGTGGGGCGTGTGTGTGTGTGTGTGTGTGTGTGTGTGTGTGTGTGTGTACTCACCTATATGTACTCACCTATATGTGCTTGCAGGATCGAGCATTGACTCTTGGATCCCGCCTTTCGAGCATCGGTTGTTTACAGCAATGACTCCTGTCCCATTTCCCTATCATACCTGGTTTTAAAATTATGAATAGTATTTGCTTCCACAACCTGTTCCTGAAGTGCATTCCATTTCCCCACTACTCTCACGCTAAAAGAAAACTTCCTTACATCTCTGTGACTCATCTGAGTTTCAAGCTTCCATCCATGTCCTCTCGTTCTGTTACTATTCCGTGTGAACATTTCGTCTATGTCCACTCTGTCAATTCCTCTGAGTATCTTATACGTTCCTATCATGTCCCCCCTCTCCCTTCTTCTTTCTAGTGTCGTAAGGCACAGTTCCCTCAGGCGCTCTTCATACCCCATCCCTCGTAGCTCTGGGACGAGTCTCGTTGCAAACCTCTGAACCTTTTCCAGTTTCATTATATGCTTCTTCAGATGGGGACTCCATGATGAGGCGGCATACTCTAAGACTGGCCTTACGTAGGCAGTGTAAAGCGCCCTAAATGCCTCCTTACTTAGGTTTCTGAATGATGTTCTAACTTTTGCCAGTGTAGAGTACGCTGCTGTCGTTATCCTATTAATATGTGCCTCAGGAGATAGATTAGGTGTTACGTCCACCCCCAGGTCTCTTTCACGCGTCGTTACAGGTAGGCTGTTCCCCTTCATTGTGTACTGTCCCTTTGGTCTCCTATCTCCTAGTCCCATTTCCATAACTTTACATTTGCTCGTGTTGAATTCTAGTAGCCATTTCTCTGACCATCTCTGCAATCTGTTCAGGTCCTCTTGGAGGATCCTGCAATCCTCATCTGTCACAACTCTTCTCATCAACTTTGCATCATCCGCAAACATCGACATGTAGGACTCTACGCCTGTAAACATGTCGTTAACATATACAAGAAATAGAATTGGTCCCAGCACCGATCCTTGTGGTACTCCACTTGTTACTGTTCGCCAGTCCGACTTCTCGCCCCTTACCGTAACTCTTTGGCTCCTTCCTGTTAGGTAGTTCCTTATCCATTCTAGGACCTTTCCCCCCACCCCCGCCTGCCTCTCGAGCTTGAACAGCAGTCTCATGTGCGGTACTGTATCAAAGGCTTTTTGGCAGTCCAGAAATATGCAGTCTGCCCAACCATCTCTGTCCTGTCTTATCCTCGTTATTTTATCATAGAATTCCAGAAGGTTTGTTAGGCACGATTTCCCTGTCCAGAACCCATGTTGATGTTTGTTCACAAACCTAATGTTCTCCAGGTGTGCAACCAGTCGTAGCCTAATTATTCTTTCCAGTATTTTACAGGGGATGCTTGTCAGTGATACAGGTCTGTAGTTAAGTGCCTCCTCCCTATCTCCTTTCTTGAAGATCGGCACGACATTTGCCTTCTTCCAGCAACTGGGCAATTCTCCTGACATAAGTGACTCATTAAAGATCATTGCCAGAGGCACGCTGAGGGCCTGTGCTGCTTCTTTTAGTATCCACGGTGATACTTTGTCTGGTCCAACTGCTTTAGTTGCATCTAGAGTTGTCAACTGTTTCATTACCTCCTCTGCTGTCACCTCTATATCTGATAGTCTTTCATCTAGGGTAACCCCTTCCAACAATGGGAGCTGCTCAGGCTCGGTAGTGAACACTCCATGGAAACTGGCATTCAGTGCCTCGCAGATTTCCTTGTCACTTTCAGTATATGCCCCCTCTGTCTTCCTTAGTCTTGTCACTTGGTCGTTCACCGACATTTTTCTTCTTATATGACTGTGTAGTAACTTAGGTTGTTTTTTCGCTTTGATTGCAATATCGTTCTCATAGTCCCTTTCCGATGTTCGTCTTATGTTAATGTAATCGTTCCTAGCTCTGTTGTGTGTGTGTGTGTGTGTGTGTGTGTGTGTGTGTGTGTGTGTGTGTGTGTGTGTGTGTGAGAGTGTGTGTGTACTCACCTATTTGTACTCACCTATTTGTGTTTGCGGGGTTAAGCTTTGGCTCTTTGGTCCCGCCTCTCAACTGCCAATCAACTGGTGTACAAATTCCTGAGCCTACTGGGCTTTATCATATCTACATTAAAATCTGTGTATGGAGTCAGCCTCCACCACATCACTGCCTGATGCATTCCATCCGTTAACTACTCTGACAATGAAAAAGTTCCTTCTAACGTCCCAGTGTGTGTGTGTGTGTGTGTGTGTGTGTGTGTGTGTGTGTGTGTGTGTGTGTGTAGATCATTAGGTGCCGAGACTTACATATTGAATTACTGGCATATTTATATAACTGTATTTACAATAATTTTTTCGCTCTCTCCTTCTTTACTTACCGAATTCGCGTCTACAATATCTTCTCATAGACCATCCTGTTTAGTATCGTTCATGTTGTTATCATATCTCGCTTGTTTCTTCTCTTATTCAACCTCATCAGGCTGATCTGAAACCTGAAATTTGTGTTCAAAACCCATTTCTTAGTTTTGGAACCTTTTTTCGCATATTTCCTTGTTGCAATATCGTCTCTTTAGGCTGGATATCATACCACACCTGCATTCTCGACCTAAGGTCTGATGTACGTGGTGCATGATTTATACAAATTGCGATTTTCTCTTAACTACATGTAGATTTTTTGGGGTTTTATTTATAGTTTATGATAAGCTATAACTCATTTTTATTGGATTTCTATAGAATTCTGTTTTGCATTTAGTAATTGTTAGTGTGTCAATACCAATTGTTCCCAATTTCCATGATGTTGTATTTGTCTGTTTTTAATTCCATCATATTGCAATTGTCATATATTTTATAATAAAATTTCTTCGTTCAGATCTGACTAAAATCTGTTAGTCTGTACGTCGCGTACGACAATATTTATGCAATGAATCGCGTTCCATTGAAAACCATTGTTAAAATGAGGAGCCTATTTTTGGGGGTCAACATGTGGGGGGGGGGGGGTTGTTTGACCCCACTAATACCTGTTGGGGTCAGTACTGATCGTTGTGGGACGCCCATTAATGACTGTTGGGGGGTTAATATTGATGCATGTCCGACGCCATTAGTAATTGACCAGACCACACACTAGAAGGTGAAGGGTCGACGACGTTTCGGTCCGTCCTGGACCATTCTCAAGTCGATCGCCACTAGTAATTGTTGGTGGTATTATTTTGTGTTTACCTTGCCGCAGTTTCGAGGATCAACGTCTCCACGGCCCGGTCTCTAACCAGGCCTCCTGGCTGGTGGTCTGATCAACCAGGCTGTTAAACGCAGCTGCTCGAAGTCTGAAGTATGAGTCACAGCCCAGTTGATCAGGAATCCTTGGGATGTGATTATCAAGTTATCTCTTGAACACCTTGAGAGGTCGGCTAGTTGTGTCCCATATGTGTAGAGAGAGAGTGTTGTATATTCCTGAGCTCTTAATATTAATAAAATCGTGTCTCAGTGTACCTATTGCACCTTTGCTTTTTCAACGCGGGTATTTTGCACTTCCTGCCATGTCTCCGAGTCTCTTTGGAGTTATTTCCGTTTGCAGATTTGGAGCCAGTCTCTAATATGTTCTGTGTAAATTGTCATGTATCTCTAGCTTGCCCTCTAGAGAATACTGATTTAAAAATTGTAAGCTGTCCTGATAAGTTTGATATTTTATTTAATTCCTTCGGCAGAACGTGCTTGTTTTCACGCTCTCCAGATCAGTAGTTTCTCCAACTGTGAATTGGGCTGTTGGGCGTGGAACAACATCCCACCCTTAGAGAACACTATAAGCTTAGAAATTATCATTGGTCTGACATCTCTTGTTTGAAAGGTTCTTGTTATCCAACCTGTCCTTTTTCTTGTATAGTTGTGACAGCTACTTGATTGTGTTCTTTAAAAGTAAGGGTTTTCGACCTAGTCATTCCCAAATCTCCCATATTGCTTTGTCTTTCTATAGTGTGTTTTGGCTGCGTTTTTTATGTGATTTCCGTTTTGATATTTTTTTTTGTGAACAGCGCAGGAGCTGTTGAACTTTTTGTGAACAGCGCAGGAGCTGTTGAACTTTTTGTGAACAGCGCAGGAGCTGTTGAACTTTTTGTGAACAGCGCAGGAGCTGTTGAACTTTTTGTGAACAGCGCAGGAGCTGGCACTTGTCTTCATTAACTGTCATGTTATTTCAATAAGCAATATGTTATGGAATCAGTTCTTACGATGTGGTTCACTGAATGACCTGATTTATATCAGTTTGGAGGTTGACTGTGTCCTCTATATTGTCTAGTCTCACGACAATTCCGGGTGTCATGTGCCGAAGATGATGCGGTACTGTAGTTTGTGTTCTTGACTATGTACGATTTGAGGATGAAAGAGTACTGAAGCAAGCACAGTTTCCTTGCAAGGTGGTTGATCCGGATTTTACCTTGTTTGAATTCTCTTCGTCAGGAAATGAAAGATCCATCTCCCTATTTTGCCTCTAATT